ATTAATAATGAAAATATGAAGACACTCGAATGTGGAATCGAAATTTCCAATTTCTCTCCCAGAAAAGAAAACAAAAACTGTCACAAGATTTCTCAGAAAATGTCCAATGGCAAATTTTGAAATTTGAATTGAAGAAATCTCTTAAGAGTAATTTTGTAATTTGAATTATTGTAATGTTCAATTCAAATTGAAATTCGAATTGTACAAAATTACTTTTAAAGTCATCCAATCGCTGCCCTTATGCGATATGCCATAGGCAAGTATGGAACCGTCACGAGTGAATGTCTGCACTCGAATCGATGTCGTACCATCTAGAGAAAGCTTATTTGGATCCAAGAATACCACTCCTTTATCTTGCAGTGTTTTCTGTTGATATAGCAAACTGAAGTAATCGAGCGAATGACATGAAACAGGATTGTTTTTCTTGCATTTCGAACACTCAGTTACGTTCCTTTGAATGAACTTGCCCGGGAAGAGGCAGTTTACAAAAGAACATCGTTCTACACGTTTGCTAACGAAATGAACATCATGCATAATAGATACAAGGTGAACCGGTTTCCCGATTTAGGGTCTCATAATATTTATTAGAGACAGTAAAATTTAAGCGCGAATCATGTAACGCAACTTGATGACTGGCCTATTGAACACAACGAATATTAAACCAAGGAAACATACAAAACTGCATCAATAATGAATGAAAACATCACACATTTTGCACAAAATTTTCATATTTTATAAGTCTGCCATAGGATGCTACTGAAAATTGCAATCGAAATGTGCTGTGAAAGAAAGCACAAAATGGTGGCACATACCTCTGATTGTGCAATCCTGGATTATAGAAATGATAGTAATATTGGCCATGTTTTGATGTACAACCGTATTTCTCATAATCCCAGAGTTCAATTAGTCTAAAATGAAAGAAACGTGTTTGAACAGAATGAATCGGAAGAGCACACGACTGTAACAACAAACTCTAATTTCATTAATTCTCCACCGACTTTTTGCGCATTTTCTCACGGATCGGAGATGCTCCAATGAATGGTTCCGAAACAGCATTCAATTTGTCGACATACGCTTTCGTCTCATCTGAATCTGGATCCTCAAGCCATCTGTACGGATCAGGTACCTTAACATATCTCTAGTCACCATCATCTTCATTTGTATTGCTGCCATCACTATCAATCGTTGTGTGAATAAACACAATTAGGCATGGTAACAAAACAGCAATTTATGTATACGCTCAGCAAGACAGATAAAACAAAAAGTTAATTTCAACAAGTTATTTCTGACCATAGGTAATAAGAAATTGAATTGTAGTAGGTAAGAGCTCATCGAGCGATTCGTAAAACTTGCTTCGCGTGATCATGACAAATGATCTGATTGAGTTCTCTATTTGTTGAATGTAATGGATGATCGTAGAGTTCTCTATTTGTTCATGACAAATGTTCACGACTTATAAATGTCAATCTGACTTATTTCCATTGTTATTTTTGTCTACCTTCAAACCGTCTACAAATTCCATACGCAAGAGAAATTCTGATTCAACATTTTTCACAATAGTAAAAATACACAATGTTTTAGATTGGCGCCTGACCTTGGTGCCATGAAAATCCTCAACAATGGTTGGGTCCTTTCTGGCCAGTGGATATTTTGCTGGATCAATGTATATCGAAGACGACTCAGATCCTTTGAGCATGGTCGGAGTTGATTGAATGAAACAGATTTGGTTCTGATTAAACGGACTCCTCTTGAGGCGTTTGGGACGTAGGAGTGCCGGTTCTACAAGAGCACAATCACATCATATACAACAAGCATAAATGTGATGATCACATGCATTCCCTTGATCGGTTCTGTTCATTACAAACACTTGATGCTCTCACAATCGCCGCACCACCTAGAGGTCAAGCACTCTCATTCTAGACGTTCACAGTCAATTGTCAATTCAGTAACACTTAGTCTTAGTCAGTAATAAGCACTGTCAATTCAGCTATTAGTTAACATTTAGTCTTAAACACTATCCAAGGCACTATGGCTCGATTGGCAACTTGAATCGTATTTCATACTCTAAATTAATATTAGATCAAATCCAGTGATCAGAATACGATTGTTAATGAAAAACCAATTCCGAACAGTCCAAAAAATACTAAAACGATTCGATAGGAAAACTAATTGTAAGTGAAACTGATGAAATAATGAGATGAAACTGCATGAATGATGAGCAACTACTCGCAGATGTGCTCGAAAAAACCAACGAACCGACACAATTAGTGTAAAGTACTATCAAGGACGATAATTAATTTGCTGTTGATGATCGAGAAAA